TAAAAAAATATATATATATAACCACAATACAACTTAACCTAATACAGCATATTAAATAAAATTTTATTTATTTATTTATTTATTTATGTTATTCTTCTCACGTGCTTATTTAATTGGATAAATTATATAGGTGGTCCTAAATTATGGGTTTGTATCAATGGTCAATAATCTTATTATTCTCCTTCAATAAAGAAACTAAGGAAATTGTAACAAATTAATCATCATCTGGTTGCGAAATTCCATGTAAAAGATGACCAATTTAGTTAAGATTTCCCCCTTTTTTTTTTGCTGTAAAGGGAAAAAAAAATTGATTGTAGACTAAAAAAATGGGAAAATCAAGACGATTTGATATTTAAATATTAAATGTTTAATAATTATATAATATATTTGATAAAATTAAACCCACACTATATTTCACACATTTAATAATTATAATTGGTAATGCTAAAACCACTTGATTTTCTCTTTTCTCTTGTAGACTAAACTAGTACAAACCCCATAGTTAAATGGATCCCATAGTGTTGATTTTGTTAAAGTTGGGTGACCACCCCTAAGATTTTTTCCTTTTTTTATCTCGTCGGTGTCCTCGCAAGGCCCGCGCGGCATTGAAGTTTTTGAATCCACATTCCACTCCACCCCCACCCTATTTTCCTATTTTTATTCGAATTTCTCTCCATGGATGAAGCAGTAAGTCCGAGGCAGAGAGCGACAATGATAAACCGTCTTCAGTCTCCCACCACCGCCTTTTTTTTGGGCTCCAACGACGACAACTCGAACTCGCACAGGCACGCGCCGCTGCAATCCGCCGAACAGCTCCGGCATCCAATCCTCCTTCACCGCCTTCCGACTATTGTCTCAGCAAACGACAAATCATCGACTTGTTCCAGAACTGCATTAAACTCGCCAGCGAAAATGTCAGTTTCCTTTGCCCTTCTACGGGAATTTTAAATAAATGCTTTATCTGTGCTTGGAAATTCAATTGATTATTACTATTCTTGGATAAATTTTTTAGAAAATAAACCATAAGAATACGTGGGAGTCGAAGCTTATTGATCAGCTTAGTGATATCATCAAAGTTGATGCTGCAGAAGCTGATTCACAGACTAATTTCCAAAGGGTATGAAGAACTTTTATGAAATTATTTACAATGGCTGTACTAAATGCTTATGTGCTTATGGGAGAGTTTGATGGATAGGCAAGTTGCACGCTGGAAGCCGGCGTCAAAATTTACTCTGTCAGAGTGGATGCTGTGCATGCTGAGGCCTATAAGGTCCTAAGTGGGATCAATCGAGTAGGGCAAGAAGATGTACATGGTATGATAATGTTGAGAATAAAAATTTTTTTTCTTAATAACCGCTTTGTGAGTTGTGACATTTACTCAAGTCTGTTTCTTTGGAGAGAGAATTGTTTCTATACCTTGTAAATTTTGGTATAATTTTCTTGTAGTGCTCTATTGCACATAGGGATTTTTGCCTTTGCTCAGTTCCTAACATAGTGGTTTGGTGACAGAGATGCACTAAGAGGGTGGTAACTGTCACACCCCAAAACCCGAATTCGAGGCGCGACAGACGCCGTGCATTCGTGAGTGGATCCCACAAATGCACAAGGCTCGGAACTTATTCAAATCACAACCTCATGCCACAAAATCTCAAGATAAAATTTTACAATCTTCTCTAACATCATAAAATCTCCAAATACACTCTAGCTTGCAAGAGCATGATTTATTTCTAAATCTATACCAATCTCGAAATGGCTAGCCTTCTACCTCGTCACTCCCCTCGGTTTCCCCGTCCTCGGTTTCGCTTCCTGAAATGGTGGATAAGGAAAACTATGAGATAAACTCAGTAAGTAAATATGGATAGCCCTTGGGTAAAACTTTTAAGCATGCCAGATAAACAGTTTAATAACAAAATGTTTCACGACAAACCGTCAATGCAGAAGAAAACTCAGTTCAGTAGTCTCATCTATAAGTCATGGCCAGCGTTTATAAACCTCCCACTGGCGGGCACAGTAGTTGCCAATGTTTAACCCCATAGGCAAGGTTACAGAAGTGCCAGTGTTTAACAACTTCCACTGGCAGGCG